TCATTCGACTGTCCACGCGACTTCGCGCGACAGCCCGAGACCGGCACAACACTGGATGGGACATCGGATTTTTGGCCATTTCCGTACGCACGATCGGATGGAACATCGCTCCGCATAAGGCCTTCCTGGGCCTTCTCAAGCCCTGTATGTCAAAAATTTTCTCAAAATGTGTTTTTCGCCCGTGTTTTTGGCCGTGTTTACCCCATTTTTCGCGTCCCCAGGAGGCATTTTCGTCCGCATAGCGGGATGGAACATCAGCATCGACGGGCCATTTTCGTCGCACTACGGATCGGACGAAACGCGATTTTTCGCCCAAAATTCGTCGCATCAGGATGGGACCTCCGTCAGCATACGCAGGGGTCCTGAACTTGTCCCTACACAAGTTCGTATCGGACAGTCACGACAATGATGAACAACGGCACAGAGAGCATAGAGCAACCGCCGTTCTATATTCTCGTCTCGCATTCCGCTCATGCGACGACCTCATCAGCACCAACGACAACTCTTTCCCATCCCATCATCGAGTACCACTATGCAAACGAAGGCTCGCCGCACGATCTTCTTCCTCGTACCCCTGGAGAACAGGTCTTGATCCTGGACTACGAGCCTTCTCAGATCGCAAATATATTTTCCAGAAGTGTTGCAGGAAACACTGCTGTTACGGGCGTAAAAGTCACAGACGCACCAGGGGCTGGAGGAGCTGATGTAGTAGACCCATCCAGAAACAATAAGATGTACATCATCGAAACCATGGCATTACAGGAAGACAAGTGCGCTGGTTCACCTATTTGATAGACCATTCAAAAATTGAATCTTCCATACGCTACTAGGTCTGCAGCAGATGCCATGAGTCCACAAACAGCTCTCGCTCGATTTAAGCAGAGGTACGCATCCATTCTTTTCTGCACGATTGTCCTTCCCCCAAACTTCATTTCGGAATAGGAACGCAGTGATCCGCCAAGTGCTTGACTACGGTGAACCGGGCGTGCAGCTTCCGGGGTCGTCCACCGCAGGAGTGGTTCCTGGGTTTAATGGGACAGACTGGCCACTCAGACAGTCAAATTCTGCTTCTTGATGCGTCTAGCACCGCACAAGTGTTCCACAGTACTCTGCTCAGTACAGTATTCATTGATTTCCTGACCTCCCACGACTAAAAAACTGGCATAATCTGTGCCGACAATATATCCTTGCTTTCTGCAACCTACCTATTGTGGCGCGCCGCAAAGCGAACCAAAGTGCAACGCCACCAAGGAGTCTCCCTACCTCAGAAAACCATCGTGCTCTTTGGTCCTTGTTCCCCCTTTCTTTGCTGTTTTCTAATTGAGTGCTTCTATCTCAATCCTCGGTCCGCCGACGTGTTATCTTGCCATTTGGCGCCCATTCCACTTGCGAAAAGCTCTCACCTGAGGAACACGGGTTCTTGTGCCTACCTGCCTAGCGGGAGGAGGCATCATCGGGCCAGGGATCCATCTGATTATACTTCTCAATATAGGCCTCTGCGAGGTCGATGATCATCGTCATTCATACCAGAGCCTTCACTCAATCACTCTCGGTCCGCCGGCTCGTATTTGTGTCGTGCGCTTTGACTCCTGGTCACCGTCCACAACGAAGCGAGACTTATGACCTCGTCGTCACTCGCCACACATTCATAGGCCTTATAAATCTCATGTACATGGACTCAGATCGTTGGTTCGCCATAGCCTCCTACAATGGCCTCGAGTATGTGCACAACATGGTGTCTCCTCCGCATCTTCTTCATCTTCGCCCTACTCTCGAGACTTCCCGCAGCATATGCAGGCGGCGTGCAGAAAGTCGACACAGTCTGTACTGTCTCTCCGTCGACTGACGGAAGCGACGATGCCCCTGCCATTCTCTCCGCATTCGAGCAATGTGGCCAGGATGGGTCTATCGTTTTCACGAACGACACGTTTCATATCGAGTCTGTGATGAATACGACCGGGCTGAATAATGTGACGGTTGACTTGCAGGGCACATTGCTCGTACGTTCCTCGTTCTCTCCTCCGTTTATCCCGTATTTCGCCCTTACTGATCATATTTTGGTGCCGCGCTTTTTATCATCGACGTGCTCGAGAATAGTGGGGCACGAATATTACGTATTGGAGAAACAACAGTCTTCCATTGGGATATTTGAACATGAGTCTCGCTTGGGCGTTCGGCGGGTCGAACGTCCATTTCACGGGAAATGAGATCGGGACGTTCGATGGGAATGGACAAATCTGGTACGTCTCCGCGGCTCTGACACTCATCATTTATCTTTGCACAGATTCTAATCTCGATATCGACAATGTGCGTATAGGTACGATTTCACGAAGGGCGTATCGAACCTCCCCGGCCGACCTATCAACTTCGTCGTCTTCAACACTACAAACTCCGTCTTCGAAGGCCTCAACTTCAGACAGAGTCAGTTCTGGACGATGGCTATATTCGGGTCGAAGGACCTCTTGTTTGAGGATATTTCGATCAATAGTACCACGAACAGCAGCGTGCATTTCCTTTACTTCTCTCTTCCCGATGCACGCAGGAATTGAGGTCTCAATTGAATGACGTGTGTGTTTCTGATATGTTATGTTACAGGAACCGGCACGTAACACGGACGGCGTCGATACGTTCTTCTCGGACAATATCACTTTTCGGCGGTGGGACGTGACTGGTGGCGATGATGCGATCTCCCCGAAAGCGAACTCGTCAAATATATTGATACAGGACGCGACTTTCCACGGCACACTTGGTGAGGCAATCCTGAACGAGACCGCCTTCAAGCTCAAAGGAAGTTCGACCGATGTACTGATGGATGTGAGTAGGTGTGGCCATTGGGTCGATCGGCCAGATGGACGGCCAGTTCGAGTTTATTGAGAATGTCACGGCGGAGAGGGTCACTTGTATTGGGTCGCAGAATGCGGCGTATATCAAGACTTGGACGGTAATGTTCTTCCCAACTTCCTCCGGTTTTTTAGTGGTGAAACTAAATGATACCGTGCTTTTGGCTCCATAGGGTATACAGCAAGGTTTCCCGCCTAACGGTGAATATTCATCCTAGCCTTCAATGCCATATCGACTTGAGATGGAGATCCTGATATTTTATATAGGTGGTGGAGGAGGCTTGGGATTCGCCCGTAATCTGAGTGAGCACTCGAACCCATCCCTCGTCATTCAGGCGATCAGAAATACTCATTATTTCTTCCTCACTCCTCGCCGCCATCACAGCCTTCCGCGACTTCACCGTCACAAACCTCACAACCTCTCTCGCCTCCATAACTCAATGCACATCCTTCGAGGGAGCAACGTCAGGCTGCGACACCTCACTCTTCCAGCTCTCCAACATCACATGGACGAACATGACCGGCACACTCGCCACAGACAACATGGCCGTCCTACAGTGCAGCGGAGATGCACCATGTCCTGGAATCGAGATCAGTGACATTGGAGTGGAAGTTCCGGGCGGTAGGGGTGAGGAGGTAGTCAGTTGCAGTAATGTCGTGGGGTTGATTGGGGTTGAATGTACGGAGGGAGATTGATAGTTGCGGTGATGGGTACAGCAGGTAAACAATGACATTCTTGTGAAATCCGGCCCGTTATTCATTAAGGCGTACTGACTGTCTCATCTATATCGCAGGTTGTGTGTAGTATACTAAATCGACGAGACGTTTTATAGCTGAAATAATCATGTCCGTTGATCATCTCTACTGCATATGACCTGTCTGGCTGGTTGATCAATTATAGGCGAAGTCAGCACTGAAAACACATCCTTCGCCGGTAGATATGTCGGATTCGTTCTCGCTCCATATACGGCTTCACTTTAGATCCCATGAAAGAAGGACGCCCGATGGACGTAAGTAATAATGCGTTCAGGCGTAGAGCGCGTCGTGTTTGTACACCCGTTTCGGACACATATATACAAGAGCTGGACTATCATGTGGGAGAAAATAAACTATTTTATGCATTGGTGCTATTCAAGCGTTTGCTGTGCATAGTACCGCATTCCGACTCTGGGTACAGGGTACTCTCCTCTGCTGCTTTCTTTCACCCTTGCACTATCTTCCTAGACACCGCACGACATGTCGGAATCAACTACCGAGGAAGGCCTGCGATTACTCGCCATAGGTGCGTTCTTTTCAGCTTGTTGTATGTGGGCCTTGGCTGATTCAGACTGATAGACGGTGGCGGAATCCGCGGCTTGTCTTCTCTCCAGGTTCTTTGGCATCTCTTGCATGAAGCTCAGGTGGAGGAAGGACTCTCGGAGATGCCGCTACCTTGTGAATATTTCGATCTCATTGGTGGGACCAGTACGGGAGGCAATGACAACGGAACTTGTACAGTGACTTACCCCGGCGCTCGGTCCAGCTCTGCTTAGGATCATTGCGCTCATGCTGGGACGCCTTCGCATGTCCGTCGATGATGCTCTCCGTAAATACGCGGAGCTTTCCAAGGAAGTTTTCTCCGAGCGAAAAATTAGTCGGGGATGGGAAGTTCAAGGCGAGTAAGCTTGAGGGTGCGATAAAGAAGGTGATCGCGGGGCAGCGGGCAGCCTCGTATGATGCGGAGGCCAGGATGATGGATGATGGGTCTTGTGGTGTAGCGTGTAAGACGTACGCAGCGACATACAATTTCTCTCTTCGCAGGACGCTAACTACCCATCTCAACCGTAGATTTGTCTACGCAACGGTCCCAAGAAAGATTGGCTATTAATTCTTGATAATGCCGATGACCCTCGTCTCGACCTCAGCCGTTTCATCCCACAGACCGTGCACGGAAACACGGTCATCACCAGTCGGAACGCTCAGACGCGCACCTACGGGTTTCCATCAGGAGCATATCGCGAAACACTAAACATGCTCCCGAGGAGGCGAAGGAGCTCTTCCTTCGGCGTGCAGGTCTCAGGATCGAGGACCAACCGTATACGTTGAATGATCACGAGGATGAGGTTGTACAAACCATCGTCAAGGTACGTCCTCGAACAGCTCTACCCGTATTTTACACGTATGGTTGCAGTAGCTCAATGTATCTAAATAGGAGCTCGAGTGTTTTGCTCTAGCCATTATCCACCTGTACGACACTAACAACAAGCCTTCTTAGGCTTGAGGATGCGGCGCGCCTCCCGAGCCTAAGAGGGCTTGATCGGCCTCAGATCTCCGCCCAGCAAACGGCCCAAGGATTGGGACCCACTTGGGCCACTATCTCGCCGCGCACACGCGCATGCCCCTCGCAGTTATCGGAGTCGGCTCCCGTCTGCACCCCTCTCCCCCGCACGCCCCTCTGTGGCGCCGCCGCCACTGGCACCTCTGCTCCTCGTCAGCGACGATGTTGCAGCCTGAGCGTCCTGTCTAAACAAGGGCAGTCAACCCTGTTGATGCAAGGACCGCTCGTCAGTGACAATCTCAACGCGGCGTGCACGGACCCCGCCGGAAGGCGCACAGGCTGCGCGCCATTGCGTCGCTCCCGCGCGCGCCTCCGCCGTCGCGTCTCGCTCGTCGGCGCCGTGCTCAACAGTGAACACGACTATCTCGCTCACATTTCGATGTTTCCCTTAGGTTCTTTTTGTAGATCTCATGTACATAGTTCTTCTAGCATGTATATAACCTTAGATATGTATTGGGACCGCAAATAAACCCAAATTTCGGCATTTTTTTGTGTGTGTGGCCCAAAGTAAATACATGAAAATAGTATCTCCACAGAAAGCAGGGTATGCTGAAAGCTAAAAACCAATGTGGGTGTATATGGGGCAATCTACAGGTAATTTACATGGTGTTTGTGGGGTGCTGGGGTGCTGGGTAATGTATGAAAGGAGAGGGGAATATATGGGTGGGTGGCATGAGGGTCTGGCATTGCATTCAGGGGTGGAAACATGAGAGAAATCTCATAGAAGGTGCATAAAGAGGATAATAATGAAGATTTGTTGGCTTGTTGAGAGGAAGGGGCAGTGGAATGAGTGAGGGCGGGGTAGCAGTGTGAGGTGAGGGTGGAGATTTTGGGTAATCCACAGGCAGAAAAAAAGCGAACCAAGGGCATACAAGAGCAGTGCTGACCTGTTTGAATCTTATCCTAGCAAAACCTACACCTGTTGTAGGCTCCAATACAACCGAAATGCGAATATGTGCTAGGGTGGGGACACTTAAGGAGGTCCATGTTGAACAGAGGCTGGGGAGCTCATATTGCGAGCTATTGACAATACAAGTGAGGGAAGTATGCTTTGGTATGCTGGTGTCGGGATTGTAAAAGATGAAAGTGGACGGAGAAGGAATGGGGCGGCGCCGGTCAATGCAGTGGTGAGGGTGTGGAAGTCGCGCTATCCGACGTTGGTGGCGACGTGGACGATGGCCATTTCGATCCGAGGGCTCATAGACATCCGGAATGGCGAGAGATAGTGTGCCCGGCGATGAATATCGAAAGTCCGAGAGCAAAGGAGGTAGTGGAGGGCGAGGAGTCGTCATCGGAGGTGGAGGAAAGCGTCAAAGCAGGGCGCTTGGAACGCTCTTTCGATGTCACTTCGCTTTTCGCCCCTTTCACCCGCTCCTCCACGTCCGACGTACTCTCCACCCCTGGCCGCCCATCGAATGGCCTCGGACTTTCGAGAGTCTTTACGGGGCACACTCCCCTTCCCCATCTCAGATGCTCACTGGCCCTCGGATCAAAATGTCCATCGTCCACGCCATCGCCGACGTTGGACAGCGCGACTTCCACACCCTCACCACTGCATTGACCGGCGCTATCCCATTTCTTCTCCCTTCACCTTCGAATTTTACCAGCACAATCTATGCATACCAGATCACACCTTCCTTGCTCGCGCCATCCATAGCTCGTTATCCGAGCTCTCCAGCCTCTCTTCAGCATGGACCTCCCATAGTGGCCCACCCCGGCACATGTTCGCATTTTGGACCATATTTGAGACTACAACTGGTGTAGGTTCTGTTAGAATAATATACAAATAGGTAAGTCCTGCTCTTGTATGTCTCTGGTTCGCTTTTTTTTGGTCTGTGGACTACCCTACATCCCCATCCTCACCCAACACTGACACCCCATCCTCACCCATTCCACTGCTAGTTCCTCTCAACAAACCACTCAATACTCATTATTACTATCTATATACACCTTCTATGTGCTTATATTTTCAGTTCTACCCCTGAAGCCAACACCAAACCATGTATCCCCTCATGCCACCCATCCATATCATTCCCTCTCCTTCCATACGTCACCTAGCACATTCCCACCCCACAAACACTATGATAATTACATATACACTGTCCCATGCATGTCTACATCAGTTTGTATCTTTCAACTTACCCTCTTCCTTGTGAAAGTACTATTTTCATGTATTTAATTTGGGCCACACTCAATAAAATGCCGGAAATTCGGCTGATTTGCGGACCAAATACATATGTGAGGTCATTTCCATGCTAGAAGCAATATTTACATGATGTCTACAAAAGGAAGCTAAGGGAAACATCGAGAACTGAGTGAGATAGTCGTGCTCGACACTGAGCACGACGCCGGCGAGCAAGGCGCCACGGTCGAGGCGCGCGCCGGTGGTTCGGAGGCGATGAAGCCGCACGGCATGGGCTGACACGGCGTGGGACGGGTCATCGTACGGGTGCGCGTTGCCCAGAGGGACTTGAAATTGGTGGGGGGCGGGCTGTGACGACGTCGACGACGAGCACAGTGCGCGAGCAGAGGTGCCAGTGGCGGCGGCGCCACAGAGGGGCGTGCGGGGAGAGGGGCGCTCGGCAGACAGACGGGAGCCGACTCCGATGATACAGTCGTTTGCATATGAAACCCGAGGCGGCGTTTTTCTGTGCGCGCGGAAAGTTGTTTGTCTTATCCAAACAGTCACGGTGAGTCACAGTGTGGCACCCGAGGGCACCATGAGCCACATAGTCAAAGAATGTGGACCAAAAGCCTCGACACTGACATTTGCGTCAGTCTAAGGGTGGATAAAGAAGTGAAGAAAATGTTTCATTATAAAATGGGAGCTGTACATTTTACACTATGGGACACAGAACAGTTGTGTACATGGATGATGATGGACGAGGGCCTCCTCGCAATGTCAAGTTGAGCGCCTTCAATCATTGAGACATCAGCTCAGAACCTACCCACTAGGAGGAGTAGGAGAAAGAGGTACTGATGTTGTACGAGTCCAAATCTGTGTCGGAGGAACATTCACTGGTACTCAAGATGGAAAGCAAGGCCGGCTTGACTTGTTCAAGTCTAACCTGAACTCATTGACAGCTCTGTCGTCGCTGAGAATGTGCAGGGCTGCTTGCAATTACCATGTATATAGTAGGTTCCGAAGATGCTAAGGTGTAAAAGGAGGGTCCAGCACGTTCGAAGCAAGGAGATGCGTACACGGTGTGTACAGTGTGTACGGGCATTGTTCGAAGACTTCGGAAATGTCCGTGGTGACAAGTGTTCGTCACGTATTTGGCTAAGACAAATAACTTTCCGCGCGCGCGGAAAAACGCCACCTCGGGTTTCATATGCAAACGACTGTAACTGCGGGGGCCTGCGCGGGTGCGCGGCGAGATAGTGGCCCAAGTGGGTCCCAATCTTTGGGCCGTTTGCTGGGCGGAGATCTGAGGCCGATCAAGCCCTCTTAGGCTCGGGAGGCACGCCGCATCCTCAAGCCTAAGAAGGCTTGTTGTTAGTGTCGTACAGGTGCATTATCCAGGCTTCGGCACATATTGCGAACAATCCGACCTGCAATCCTGAGAAATATCTTGGCATGCACCAAGGGCATCGTCGTGAGTTACGCGAGGAGTACAAAATGACGTCCAGAAGCTCGAATCATATCGTGGCACGGTCTATACGACCTGGAATAATTAGCTTCGAGAACCTTCAGCGCCATAACCCGCTTGCCGCCACATTCCTTCGTGTCTGTGCTTTCCTGCACAACGAATCTATCTCGGAGTCTATATTCAGAAATGCTGCTGCTGAATTGCTGCATTTCAATTCGAGTACCTCCCCTTCGAAAACAGTAATCTCTTGGGCGACAGACTTCCTACATTCATTCATGATCATTGATGATGGAATCTGGGACGAGAGAAAATTTCTCGCAGTAGTACAAGACCTGTGCTCTTACTCTCTTATGAGTACTTCAGGTAGAAGTGATCTGTCTATCCATCTTCAAGACTGGGCTCGCAACATGAATTTGAAGGCAGTAAAGAAAGAGGGAAAGACAAAAAACTCTGAATAACACTGAGAACAAGTGGATGTCTCCGGAGGTCGTCTGGTATCCTCCTGGAGGGCCAAGGCGGCTTTCCGGGAAGGGCGGGCTGGTGTGGTGGTGTACGCGATATGAGCCATATAATTCGTACTGTACAAAAGAAAAACAGAGAATCAGCGTCGGGAAGGGCCGAGCGTCATCGCACCTTGTCCGCAACCATCATGTCATCGACTTCTTCCCACGCTTCCGCCACTCCCCGTCCCCCTCCACTTCCTCCTGATCTACAAGGTACCCCAAACATCGACCGCACGGCTTATAGAGAGGCACTAGCCTCTGTGTCTCTTGCACTCGACAAGCTCGAGAATCTCAACATCCGGGACATCTCGCGCTACCCCTCATTCCGAGAGGGGACATTCGGCCTCCTACCTTTCTACCACCGCATTTACACCCTCTACCAGCTGACCAGAGGTATCGACACCACCCCCCAGGAGAACGTTAGACTCCACCGGGAGCCCGACTTCCTCAAATACATCGCTGACACCGTCGCCGAAATGCAGCAGCGGGAGGCTTCCTCTGCCCCAGCCCCCACCACACCCCGGCCGCGTGTGGCCCAGCCGCCTTCGGCCCGGCCCACCCACGCTCCCAATTCCTCCGGCCCGGCTCTTAAGGCCTCTAAGGCCGTTCCTTTCTCCTACGCCAACGCGGCGAAGGCTGGCTTGCACTCCGTGGTGAGCCAGCTGGCGGTCGCGTTCCCCCACGAATCCGCTTCCAACCTCGTTTTGATGGCCGAGAAGATCACCCCCAGTCCGCCGGCGAATAAACCCCACGTCCGCCACGCCCCTCGCCACTCGTCTCGCCACATTGATGTCTCGTTCAAAGCGGACGCTGTCCCCCACGCTGAGTCTATTCCAATTGATGGACTCATATTCCGTGACCTTCTTGACTACCTTGGCAATAGAATGGTCGACAATCAGCCCCAGCCCCGTCTCGTCTCTGTCTCCTGGAATCACAGGGGACGTTTCCGACTCACATTTGACAGTGTCGTCCCCGCCTCTTTGGACGACACTATTCGCAACTACTTCGGGACGAAGTACGCTCGTGATCACCATCCGGCATCCGTCCTGATTGAACGGTTCTCCTTCAGGAACCAGATCGTTTTTCGACGTGTCCCTACCCAAGGCGCCAACTCCGAAACTCTCCTCCGCGATCTCCGTTCAGACCCCGTGTGGTCCGATGTCACCTTAGCGCGGCCACCCAACCTCTACATCCCGAAGTCCTCCGCCAAGTACGGCATGTACTTCGTCGAGTTCAACGACAACGCCACATCACGCACTTTCAAACGTGTCATGTCTACCCCCATCTACCTTAACGGCGAACTCTGCCACGCCGCCAAGGCCCTCGACTCGAAGCCTCCGACTCCCCAGTGCTCTATCTGCCTCCGCTGGGGTCATCGGACCCACCTGTGCCGCTCAATGACGAAGAGGTGTTGGAAGTGCGGCGGCGCACATGATGAACGGGACCATGCGAAGACCTGTGGTCCTTGTGAGAGGGCTGGGAACACGACGGGTACGTGCCCATGTGAACCCTTCTGCATAAACTGCCAGGGCCGTCATCGTGCAGATGCGAAGGACTGCTCTTTCTATGCTCATCGCAGAGACCCGGAATGGATCCGGGAGCACACTGCACTGCTCCGCCCCCGCCTGGAGTAGATCCTAGTACGTGGGTTCCCGCTCGAGGGGAAAGAAGGGAAAGGGGAAGAAGGGGAGAGGGAGGGAGACGGCGGGAGC